GAGGCAGGAGACTCGCTTGAGCCCAGGAGTTGGAGGTTGCTGTGAGCTGTAATGCCACGGCACTCTGCCCAGGGTGACAGCTTGAGGCTCTGTCTCAAAAAAAAAAAAAAGAGACTCACTTGAGCCCAAGAGTTGGAGGTTGCTGTGAGCTGTGACACCACAGCACTGCACCGAGGGTGACATAGTAGACTCTGTCTCAAAAAAATAAATACATACTAAAGGCATTTTTCCATTGAGTTCTAGCTTTGTGTAATGGCTGTGAAGCCCAATGCCATTCTGACTTTTGATCTTTTCTCTCTGAAAGCTTCTAGAATCTTCTGTGTTCAAGTTCTAAAATTTTATGATGTGTTTTGTTGTGAGTCTATTTTTGTCCATTATTTTGAGCACTTCTGGTCTAGAAACATATCCTTCAGCTGGGGGTAAATTTCTTGAATTACTTCATTTTTTTTATTTCCCTAGAGATTGGTACTACACTACTGCTTCACAGTCTCCAGAGAGAAAATCTCCAGTCTTTTGCCAGCGTGGAAGAAGAAAGCTGAGAATCTGACTACATCTGAAAACAGGCTTTCAATTAATCCTCCTTAATTTAGCCCCTCCTCACTCATTCTCACTTTTAGAGTTCAGCTAATACCTCCAATTCCTATCTTTCAAAGGTTCTGCAGTATAGATCAGGTTGGTTCTCAGCTGTCGTAACTGTGGGGTTAGGATTCATTTTCCTTGGGTCTATTACTGTCTCTTTCTAGCTTCTAAAAGTTTTAGGGAAGTTTGAAGAGACAGCAAAAATAGATGCATATATACAATTCACCCTCTACCTAGCATTCCTACATAGCTTTCCATATGATAATAATAAGTTCTGGCTATAGCTTCTCCCACAAAGATGAAAGAGCTTTTTATGTTCAAGGCTCTTCTCTTTCTTAAAAACTGAATGTTACCCACTTGAGACCTTATTAGAACAAAAATGAAGAAAAGCAACTAAGATCCTTCAGAGGAGTCATTTCTTGGTGAAATCAGATGCAAACAGCTTGAAAGTTTGTAAGTGTCTCTCCAGAGCAACAATGTCCAATAGAAGTTTGTGATGATGATGAAAATGTTATCCTGCACTGTCCCATATAGTAGCCACTAGCCACAGGTAGCTACCCACATGCTGAAATATGGCTCCTGCTGGGCAGCTCCTGTGGATCCATGGGTAGGGCACCAGCTCCATATACTGAGGGTGGCGGGTTCAAACCTGGCCCGTCCAGCTAAAACAGCAGTGGCAACTGTAACAAAAAATAGCCAGGTGTGTAGCAAGCGCCTGTAGTCCCAACTACTTGGGAGGCTGAAGCAAGAGAATCACTTAAGCCCAAGAGTTTGAGGTTGCTGTGAGCTGTGATGCCACA